GTATTAATATGTGTGTGTGTGTGTGTGTGTGTGTGTGTGTTTGCGCGTACATGTCTGTGTGTGTGTGTGTGTGTTTCAGGTGCGGTTCGGGCCTCCAGTATTTTCCCCATCCTCAGTGTCATCCTGCTGTTCGTGGGTGGCCTCTGTGTCGCCGCCAGCGAGTTCTACAAGTCTCGACACAACATCATCCTCAGCGCAGGAATCTTCTTCGTATCCGCAGGTGAGTGAGCTTCAGCAGCTTTAAGTGTGTATCACAGCTAATTCACCTGATTCCATCTGGCTTCAGTCGCGCTGCTAACAGCTCAGTTTGTTCTGCTGTATCTGTTCGTTCCACTTGGAGGAAAAGAAGTTAACGCTATAGATTTCTGGGATTTCAACGTAACGTGGTAAACGTTCTGCTTTCACACATTACAATCAGTGATGGTGATGCACAAACTATAGCACTCACACATAGTGGGCTTCAGTAGGGTCACACTCATTACACTCTAATGTAAACCTGAAAACTAACAAGCGTAGGGTTCGAAAAAGTTAAAAAAACTATTTTTTGAAAAACTGCCTTTTCTGCACTATTTTTGTGTTACTAGACAAAAAACTGAACCATTATGAAATTCTAATAATGGTTATGTGTAAATGCATTCACTGGGAATCGAACCCATTACCGTGTGGATGCTAGCTCCATGATCTAGTGTTTGAGCTACAAGAATGCATAAAAACTTTTCAATCTTTTACTGCTTAAATTCACTCATGAGCACTGATGCTTGGCATCGATCAGACCTAATTTGTCTAGAAATAATGATGAAAATCTAAAAAAGTAATTTGGTCATTTTCAGCTCAATGCGAATGAAATCATAAAGTTAATAAGCTTTTTTTTCACATGCTGTACCTGAAGAACCTCAAAGTGGAAAACGTTTGTTAACCCTCTTGTGCACTTCGGTCATTTTGGACCAGAAAAACTTTACGTTTTGGTTTGGCACTTGCAATGTGAACACAAAAAAGAAAAAAAAGTTAAACGGTCCTGAAACAAATATTCACACTTGTACTGTTCGCAGTCAAAACTCTGGAAATGAACAGGAAGTGAATTTCATCTAGTGGAAACGTTTTGTACTGCACTCAAATAAAACCTTACTGAAAGCTCATTTTTAGAGATATCAACCTCAAAATTGGAACACAAGTTGTTTAGATCAGGGATGGCCAACGTCGCTCCTGGAGAGCCACAGTCCTGCAGAGTTTTGCTCCAACCTTGATTAAAACTCCCCTGCCTGTAGCTTTCTAGTAATCCTTAGACCTTGATTAGCTTGTTCAGGTGTGTTTGTTTAGGGTTGGAGCAGGACTGTGGTTCTCCAGGACCAACATTGGCTGCCCCTGGTGTAGGCAATGGTGGTGGTAACATCCAGCACATTGCACCACAGCACCGTGTGCCATCTCTGTGATGATTTTGGCTCAAATTTAACAAAAACCCACCAATTCACTATCTCAGCATTATACTATATCAGAGTGTATACTGTGCATTGCATATTGTACTGACAACATATCCAGATATTTTCAAGCAGAATAATTGAAATCTGAAATATAAATTATCTATGATATTCAGGTTTAAAGGTTTAAAAAAAAATCTAATTGATCAGATGATCCGGTTGAAGAGGGAAGAGTTTTAGTGCATAAAGACATATATTTTAATCTGTAATTCACACAAATCTATCGTATGGTTTCAGAAGCCTTGGCATACAGAGCATATGGGCTACTTTTTTTTCTTTATCTGTGACCACTCATATTCATTCCGTGGAAAACACAGCCAGGATATTTTTTCCACATAAGAAAGGTTTGGAACAATGTGAACTTGAGTAAATGATGGGTTTCTCATTTTGATTCATTTTTACTCTAATTTATTATTTGCTTTGTCTACCTTGGTGCAAACTCATCTTTTCCGCACAGTCATGGATTCATTTGAGTGATTTCACACATTGCCTTTCTCTCTGTGTCACACACAAATACTGTGTTTGAAAGGCAAATGTACATAAGCGCTATTTACATCCCCACAGCTGACCTTCCTTTGGGTCTCTCTCTTTCTATCTCTCTCTCTCTCTCTCTCTCTAACTCTCTCTCTCTCTGTCTCTCTCCTGAAAGGCAAAGTCTGCTCATGTGTGTTGGTGCGGAGATATGCTCCACCTTGCCTCAGGACAGCTGTAGTTCAGACAGACAGGGAAAAAAATAAAAATAAAAAAGGGGACAGGCCAGGGGACATTTTATGTATGACCAAAGCCACCAATTGAAAATGAGAGCAAATTCCTGTATTTCATTTGGACATATCTAGACAACCAAATTTAAAAAGTGATTTCACCTGAGTCTGAATTGAAATTGTTACAAAAATGAAAGCAATTTTTTTAGGGTTAAAGGATCTGTAATAAGGATCAATAAGTGAGAGATCAATAACTCTCATACAGTATGACATCATCCAACTCCTATAAATGGCAGTATAGAAACTGGACTGAGTTGTTGAGATGTCCAACAGTGAACACAGGGAATGTTTGTGACCATTATGCGTGCTCTGACACGCAGAAGCGGTGTCTGATTCAAGAACGAACTGATTCTTTTCAATGAACCTTTTAAATCTGTTCGCAAATCGCACCAAACGCATTCAATCTTGCTTTTGAAATAACAATACTGAATAAATACTGATCAAAATTTTTCATGTATTTTCTTTAATAAAACATGTAAAGTGACATGAACATTTCTTGATTGTCAACTCTTGAAAGACTGAGCTCAGTACAAGTACAGACTCAGGGGTTCTGCCAAGGGTGATGCCTGCCTCCAGAAAGAACAGCACCCCATCGTACTTTTTACTTCACTACATTTCATAAAACATATAGTTACTCCTTATAATATATCATGTGCTCCGACACGCAGAAGCGGTGTCTGATTCAAGAACGAACTGATTCTTTTCAATGAACCTTTTAAATCTGTTCGCAAATCGCACCAAACGCATTCAATCTTGCTTTTGAAATAACAATACTGAATAAATACTGATCAAAATTTTTCATGTATTTTCTTTAATAAAACATGTAAAGTGACATGAACATTTCTTGATTGTCAACTCTTGAAAGACTGAGCTCAATACAAGTACAGACTCGGGTTCTGCCAAGGGTGATGCCTGCCTCCAGAAAGAACAGCACCCCCCTACAACACACACAAAATAGAAATGCTGCTAGGAGTTTCGGTCAGTTCGACAATTTGGGAGCAGTTCCTCCCCCCAGCTCCACTTTAACCTGGCCTATGACCCTTGGTAGTGCTTCACACCAAATGCAGTTCTAACCACTGCAGACTATCATACAGAAATGATCAAAACAAAATAAACATACAAGAACCTCCATACATTTGCAGTTATGGATGAACGCACACATCAGATAAATGGCTAATAATTGGAAACACATTTGTCATCAGGCCAGTCTAATCTACATTTATTTTACTTGGGAAAAGTGCACAAGAATGCCTTATAACTGCCAGGATTTGCTAAAGACACACAGTGAAAAATTAGTGTGGACAGTTATTTTGGCAGCTGTTCTTATTTCATATGCATATGTAGGAGTTTCCCTTTCAGACCAGATCATCCGCAGAATTTTCCACTGCCTCTGGCGCTTTTATGGGATTGTGCTCTCACTCTAATTTGCCATTTAGTAAATCTAGCCCCTAATGTTTTAACCCTGTGAAGCCTGACATACAAAATAATATTCAAAAACAGTTTATTAAACCTTTTTGACAAAATTTAATATATAAAATCTAATATATTTTATGGCTCACTATGATATAGTGAGAATATGGAGCTCATACTAAAAATAATTAAGTAAAAAATAATTCAGTTTTATTCAGAGGCTCAAACTGAGCCAAAATGTGTAATTTGGTTCAGCTGCGGTTATTTATATGCCCAAAAGAAAGATGAAATTCTGATGGCTTGTTATGTAAATTAATGAGATCTCTAGTATAGCATACTATTAAAATAAAATGCATAGAAATATCAGCTGTCATTCTATATCTTCCAATAATATGCCTTCCAATAATATGATTTTAAATGCCTATTGTGGGGTCAAAACATGTAATGATGATTGAGAGATGGACAAATAGACATTTCTCAAAAGCCTGATGGATCATATTTGATATTCATATATATATATATATATATATATATATATATATGGATAACCAAGTAAGCCTAAGTTTCCTAATTATTTGTGTATAAAATATAACATGCAGTAGGCTTTATAGGTTGAATTACCAGAAGATGCATAGCTGATAATAAATTGCATCACTGATAAGAAAGGACGCGCGTATATGTCTGTCGATGGGTCACTTATTTACAGGTACTTGATACCTTTACAACTCAGACGACATTACGCACATTACAGGATTACAGGTCATAGTCTTCACTGCTTGGCCCAGACTTGACCCCCTTCACTGTATACTGTCTATGTATGTGTATATGTTTGCATGATTATGTGTGTATTTATGTGTGTCCGCATAAAGGGCAAAGCTAGCATTTTAAGTGTGTATGACCTCAGGGGGTATTCATGTATGCAGGGTTCACTGCAGTAGCACTATGGGCCAGAGCAGGAGACATTCACTGCTAACGGCACACTGATATTTAAACACACATACTTGTGTGTGTGTGTGTGTGTGTGTGTGTGTGTGTGTGTGTGTGTGT